TGGCAGCAGAACACAGGAGTTTGGGATATGGAAACCCTGGGATTGGTCCCTGCCAAGCTCGGCGCAGGCTGTGCTGCGGCACTGAACGTGCTGTGCTCAACCAGGAGCATTCGCTGCAGCCACGTTCGTTCCCTCCTCGGGGAGAGACTGGAGTCAGGAAACTGGGATCAGGTCTCCTGCCAGGGCTGTGGAGCAGGATCCTGCCAAGAGAGTGGGAGCAGCATCAGGGTCTGACAGAAACCAGACACCCTTTGTGCATGAGCAGCTGCAGCGCAAAGTCATGCTCCTGTGCTGGACCCCCACGGGCTCCTGGAGGCAGCTACTGATAGTTCTCCACCCCACCAACCCCTGTCATCCTTGTCCTTGTCCCTGCTCCCCTGCACGCCCCATCCCACAGCTCCTTCCAGTCACACAGGGCAACCTTAGAACCGCTGAATAACAGAATCATGGAATGGGCTGGTCTGGAAGGGACTTCCAAAGCTCATCAGTCCAGGCCCCTGCAATGAGCAGGGACATCTTAAACTAAACATCTAAACATCTTCTCCCAGGGGAGTCATGCCCTGCCCTGGCCTTCACCCCATTCTTGGGGCTCTCCTCTCCCTCCACTGGGATTGAGAGTATTTCTGCAGGAAGCAAGACTTGGCCATCACTCTGGCAGCACCAAAGGCCCAGATGATGCCCTGGACAGGATGAACCCTTCCTCCACCACCACGAGACTGTCACTGTGCCCGCACAGGAAAGAGGATCTGAGATACAGACTGAGATGCCTCATGGCAGCTGTTCACTGCCCAATGGGTACCACAAGGTGCCAGTACTGGTACCAGTAGTGTGACTGCCGCCGCTGCCTGCTCTGCCTGCCTGACCTCCAACAGCCACGTCCAGCTCCTCCATCACCCAGTGCCTGTCCTGCATCCCATGGGATGCTCTCAAATCAAAGCTTGTCCATTGCTTTGCCCCAGACAGGAGCCTGGCCATGGCCCCTGCACCCCTGCACCCTCACAGACAGAGCATTCTTCCCAAGCAGGTTCAAACCATCCCGCTTTAGCAGTGAGCTGTGACCAGTCCCAGCCAGTGCCTCATTCCAGCGCACCCACCACTATCTCTGTGGTCAGATTCTCCTCCCTCTGTCACACGCTGGCTCTTTCCACTTATGAAAGCACTTATGGAAGGGCTGGATATGTATTCCCTGCACTGTGTGGAAGCTGCCAGAGGGAATACAGGCAGAGCTCCAAGCAGCTTAGAGGGGCTGGGGGTCAGCAGCCCCTCACCAAGCTCTCTGGCCTGGCCTCTCCTGCAGTGTGTGCCTCTCAGGGGTGACATGGGAGATGCTGTCAGCAGCTACTGCTGTGAGAAGCCGTTTCAAGAGCCGCTCCATGCAATTCCCGGGGCACGCTCTGCTCCTGCAGCACTTGCTGCGTGCTGGGCTCCCTCCCGTGACTTCACACGTCTGATCACATGCTGACAGCAGCAGGTTGCACATGTGTGTAGGTCATGCGTGTAGGAAGGATGCATGTGGGGAGCTGCAGAGCAGGGAAGGGGAGAACCTGATGTGTGAGAAACAGAAAGAGGCTCCTGAGAAGCTGCAGGTTTCCCTGAAGAGGCCACCATGAAACATACTGAGAAGCCAGAGCAGGGACAGTGTGGGGGGTATAGAGGGTCAGGGTGACACCTCCTGAACTTCACACTGTCACAAAGTGCAGGTTGTGCTGCACACATGGGACTGATGCATCAGCCACGGATGAAAAGAGATGGTGAGTTCAGAGAGATGGTGAATTCAGTGAGCCAGGAGGGAGAGGGGGACATGGGGCCACCAGCACCAGCACCAGCCCGGACCTAGAGCAGGATTGTTGTGTGACAGCCAGTTAATGGAAGAGTGTGTGAGCTATATCTGAAAATAATAGCTCAGACAAGTGTGCTCTACTGCAGAGTATCCTTATTATTTCTTATAAGGAACGATGGGGGGACCTGGGGGGGGGGGGGGGGGTAGTCTGGAGAAGAGAAGGCTCAGAGGGGACCTGATGGCTCCCTCCAAGTGCCTGCCAGGAGGATGGAGCCAGGAGGGGCTGGGCTCTGCTCCCAAGGAACAAGGGATGGGACAAGAGGAACCGGCCTCAAGCTGCACCAGGGCAGGTTTAGATGGAGCAGAGGAACAATTCCTGCCCCAGAGGGTGCTCAGGCATTGGAACAGGCTGCCCGGGGCAGGGCTGCAGGCACCATCCCTGCAAGTGCTCACACCCCGTGGAGACGTGGCCTCAGTGCCATGGGTTAGTGGTGGCCTTGGCAGGGCTGGGAGCGTTTGGACTGGATGAGGTCTTTTCCAACCTCACTGATTTCATGATTCTATGATTCAGTAAAGCAAAAGGAAGTCACAGAAGGAAGATCAAGAAACTTACTTACTCTGATGTGGATGAGGCATTGAGGATGATGGGATGAAGCAAGAGGTAGTGGGATATTGAAGCATTGTCTGGATGGGGATGATGGGGCACTGATGATACAGGGGATGGTCACTGCTGAGGGAACATGCACGGATCCTGCATCCTGTCATCCCTACGATCACAGAATCACAGGATGGTTAAAGCTCATCTCAGTCTCTCCTCTGTCCTGTTAAAGCCATTCCCCCTTTATCCTGTCCCCACAGGCCCTTGTCCAAAACCCCCCTCCAGTTTTCATGTCGGCCCCTTCAGTTCCTGTGCCCAGAGAAATTGAAAGTATCACATGCTGACAACGCTGCACTCAGGCTGACTGAGCTTGACCAGAGGATCACGGATCCAGCCAACTCCTGCTGCTGAAAGCCATTTATCTTCCTCAAAGGACCTTCAAAGTTTGTGTTTGAGCCGCCTGAGCAGAGTGTGGCCAGGCCAGGGCAGCAGCAACATCCAGCAGCAGCATCCAGCTCCAGACATCTCCGGCACACTGAAATGGAACAGCCGTGCTCCGCAGGGAATGTGTGAAGGCCAGAAGTGCTTCCTGCCCAGAAACAGGGAGCAGTGTGAGAGCAGCTCCTCCAGGTCAGGCTGAGCCCTGCACATCCCTGCGTTCCGCCTTGACAAGCTGCTGACAGTACATCCCAAGAGGAGGAGCACAGGAACCTGTATTTCATCAGCTGCAGCCTCCCAGCTTTGAGAAGCTGCAGCTTGGAGCCCTCTGGAGCCAGAGGCCTAGGCTGCGGCTGCCTTTAACAGCCCAAATCAATTCTTCTCCCACAGATCTGCCTAATGGCTTTTAAAACGCTTTTCTCCCTTGGACGCTGTGAACACCCTGTGGCAATGAATTCCTCCATGTGGCACCCGCCTCAGCAGGCATCCCAGCTACTTATCTCTGTGACATGGTGACACGTGTGGCATCCTGTGTGCTCTCCCCACGCTGCTAACGGGCTCTTGCTCTGTGTGTCCCCGGCTCTGACCTGCACATGTGGTTCATGTGAAACCTTGTCCATGCTTGTGACATGGCTCCTGTGTCACCAGATCCTCTGCGGCTCTTTGGAGGCGGCTGTCCTCAAGAGCTGGTGTCATCAGTCAACTGCAGCTCCTTGTTCATCCCTCCTGGATTGTTGAGGAGCTGTTGGAAAGCTGGACCTGGCACTGACCCTGCCCAGTTACCACGGGATAAGCTCTGCCCATTTGACATTCACCACCTGCCAAACATCTCCAGCAACTTGTCACCATTGTCATTGACTTGGTTTATAATATGTACTTGTGTCACCTCATCTTGAGGCAATTTCCCTGCCTGTCATCTCGCAAGGGAGGGCTTCCTGCAGAGTGAATGTCACAGCAGAGAATGAGCTGTGGGGTTTTTGTGTGTCTCACAGAATCCAAGACCGGTTCATGTTGGAAGGGACCTTAAAGGTCCTCCAGCAACCTGCTGTAGTGGAAGATGTCCCTGTCCATGGCAGGGGGTTGGGACTGAATGAGCTTTAAGGTCTCTTCCAACCCAAACCATTCCATGTTTCCTTGATTCCCAGCCAAACATTTGCCTTTCACTTTGATAAGAACCAGTACTTTCCTACAGGTCCTGTCTGGCAGGCCCAGCACAAGGTCACTGTGGGGTACCTGGCTTATGGGCTGGCAGCAGGGGGGTACAGTGGGGGGTGCTGGAGGTGGCTGTTGCCTCCAGGGAGTACCCAGTGGTGGCACACATGAGGAAATGGCTCCTGACCTTTATTCTGTGTTTTAGGGAGCAGGACACAGTGTGTGATCCCTCCATCGGTGCCTCCCCATCCAGCAGCCACCGCACCATGGTCCATCCTGGTTAACCACAGGCTAAAAGCAGTAACAGGCTTGGAGGGAAAGAACATGTCCCAGAACAGCCGTCAGGCACCGGCGCGTCACGGAGGCGCTGGAACAAGTAACGAACGTGCTAAAAGCAGCCAGAGCTGGCCAGGGAGAGGAGGAAAAACATCAGATGAGCCAGAGAGCTGCCAGAGAAACAAAAATATCGGCGAGGCTCCTTGCTGGGAGCTGCTGGGGCTGTTCGGGGTGCACTGGCTGGGCAGGGGAGCTCTGTGAGTTGCTCCTGCCTGGGGGGCAGCACCAGCACCAACACCAGCAGAGCACCAACACCAGCACCAACACCAGCACCAACACCAGCACCAGCACCAACACCAGCACCAGCACCAGCACCAACACCAGCACCAACACGAGCACCAGCACCAACACCAGCACCAGCACCCACACCAGCACCAGCACCAACACCAGCACCAGCACCAACACCAACACCAGCACCAACACCAGCACCAACACCAGCACCAACACCAGCACCAGCACCAACACCAACACCAGCACCAGCACCAGCACCAGCACCAACACCAACACCAGCACCGACGCTAGGGCTTCAGCGCTGCAGGACAAGCCCCATTTCCCTCCACCGCTGGCCAGTCCCGTGCGGGGGACCGTCCCTATCGCTGCCCCTCCACCTTTCCCCGTCCCCTGCCCCTGTCCCGGCCCCGGGGCTCCTCCCGGCGGGTCGGGGCGGGGTGTCCCGGTACCGGGGCGGGGCGTGCGCGGCCGCACGTCCGGAGCGGGGCGGGACGGGGCCAGGAGCGGGAGCGGCGCTGTCAGACCGTGGCTCGGAGCGGTGCGGAGCGGCTCGGTTCGGCTCGGGATGGCGGTGGCGGATCCGGAGGCGCGTCTGTCGCAGGAGAAGGAGGAGGAGAGCGAGGAGGAGAGCGAGGTGCTGGAGGAGAGTCCCTGCGGCCGCTGGCACAAGCGCCGCGAGCAGGTTCGACCCGACGTGCCGCTGCTGCCGGGGCCTGCGGGGCACCGAGCGCTGCCCCTCGCCGGGGACGGAGCCGGGGTTGGGGCTGGGACCGGGGCGGGGGCAATGGCCGCGGCCGGAGGCCGGTGCGGAGCTGCTGCTGCTGCTGCTGCTGGAAGGGGTGGGGAGAGCCTCCGGGGGCGGCGTGACCGGTGCGGGAGCCTCGGTGCGGGGAACCGGGACTGATCGTGCTCCGGTGAGGGAAGCCTGGTGCGGGGAGCCCGGTGTGGGAGCCTCGGTGCGGGGAACCGGGACTGAGCGTGCTCCGGTGAGGGAAGCCTGGTGCGGGGAACCGGGACTGATCGTGCCCCGGTGCAGGGAGAGCCGGTCCGGTCCCCGAGGAGCGGGACAGTCCCGGGCGTGCGGAGGCCCCGGTACCCGCGGGACCAGCCGGTGCGCTGCCGGAGCCAGCGTGGAGCTGAATCCTGGAAGCTCCCGCGGGCCCGGCCCTGGCGCTGTGCGGGGTGGGAATCGCAGGGCTCCAGGGCTGCAGAACTCGGTTCCTCTGCTCCAGACACGGCGTTTGGACCCTTTCAGTTTATCTTCCCAGCCCAGGGGCTCCAGCAGCCTGTCCAGAAGGGTTTTGCAGCATCCCACTATTGTCACCCCCTGACCTCCCTCCTCCAGACACGTACCCTGTATCAGTGCAATGTCCCTCACCCCCAAAAACGGGACCAGTCTTCCCATCCCCGCCATGGCACCCAGGAACAGGTATCAGTCAGCGGGTGAATCCTGACTGCAGACGGGTGGGACAGTGCTGACAGGCGCTGTCATCACACAGACATCACAGGCGCTGTCAGCTCCTGAGAGGCAAAGGGGTCCATCCAAGGGCCCTTTATCTCCCGCTGTCACCTGTTAATGACCAGAGTTCTCAGGTCTGGCTGGAGGCTGCCCATGATTGAGGCTGTTTGTGCAGTCTGGCCTTTGCTGAGATCCCAATAACCTGTTACAGAATTACAGAAGCTGCTCTCAGCTCTCCCCTTCAGGAGCCTTCTGTTCTCCAGGCTGCCCCAGCCCAGCTCTCCCAGCCTGGCTCCAGAGCAGAGCTGCTCCAGCCCTTGCAGCAGCTCCGTGGCCTCCTCTGGACTTGCTGCAGCAGCGCCGCGTCCCTCTTGTGCTGTTGCCCCAGAGCTGGACGCAGGAGGGGGGTTCTCCAGGGTGCAGCAGAGGGGCAGGATCGCCTCCGTGAGCTGCTGCTCACGCTCTGGAGGTGCAGCCCAGCACAGGGCGGGGAGTTCTGAGCTCAAGCACTCACTAAAGGTGGGTCACGGGGAGCTTCTTCTCACCCAACACCCCAAGTCCTGCTCCTCAGGCTGCTCCAGCCCCTCTCCCCCAGCCTGGGTTTGTGCTGGGGTTGCCCCGACCCAGGGGCAGGACCTTGCCCTTGGCCTGGTTGAACTCCAGGAGGTTCACACCTCTCCAGCCTGTGCGGGTCCCTTTCATGGCTCAGGATCTGTAATGCTGCTGTGACAAAATGCACGTGAGCTTGAACAAGGAAGTGGCAGTGCTGCCTGAGTTGCAAAGTGAGGGAAGTTTTGTGTAAGAGGTTTATTTGTTACAAATTCATCGATGCTTATGTACCAGGAAGGAAAACACCCTTTGCTGTCTGTGAGCTGTCGATAGGGACCTTGTCACACAGGGACTGAGTCTTTGTTTTCACATGACCCCACTGTGCATTACTACAGGTACAGACCCAGCAGCTAAATGGCGCTGTGATCTTAATGCTGGGCTGTGTCTGGTGGTGCCCACCAGAGAAGAAAACATCTCCCTCCACAGACTCCTTTGCCTGTTTATGATGCCCAAATTCATTGTGGATAATGGAGTTATCCATGCCATGAGCAGTTCAGGAAATCACTGAATCCCAGACTGCTTTGGGTTGGAGGGACCTTAAAGCTCCTCCAGCTCCAACCCCTGCCAGGGGCAGGGACCCCTTCCACTGGAGCAGGGTGCTCCAAGCCCCTGTGTCCAACCTGGCCTTGAGCACTGCCAGGGATGGGGCAGCCACAGCTTCTCTGGGCACCCTGTGCCAGCGCCTCAGCACCCTTACAGGGAAGAGCTTCTGCCTAAGAGCTCAGCTCAGTCTTCCCTCTGGCAGGTTCAAGCCATTCCCCTTGGCCTGTCCCTACAGACCCTTGTCCCAAGCCCCTCTCCAGGTTTCCTGGAGCCCCTTTAGGCACTGGGGCTGCTCCAACGGCTCCGCTTAAGGAGCCTTCTCTTCTGCAGGCTGAAGCAGCCCTGCCTTCTCAGCCTGGCTCCAGCCTTCAGAGCATAAAGCACTTACAGCATCTCCACAGCACATGTGGAGAAACAGCCACGTGAATCCTTTAGAGACCTTGTGTTTGGTGTCAGCACATACCCTCTTCTGCCTCTTCCATTCCTGTCCCTGCCATTAGTGTGGAAGTGGAGCAAAGGAATGCTGCTGCTGTCAACTTTTCCATGTAGGAAGATATGTGTTTTACAGCGTGGGTTTGATGACTTCATTTATTTTTTCTACCCACCCTGTGGAGTACGAGTAGTAAGGAAGGAGAAACTTGGTTTACTGCTTGTGTTCAAGGTTTTACAACTTTCCTTATGGAATACAGGCTCCTGAATGAACCCCAGCCCCTCGCTACTGAGGTCAGTCTGGTTCTATCCACGCTGCTTTGCTTTAGCAAACCCTTTATTAGGTAAAGGGACTGTTATTACTGGTAGATACTTGATCCAGACTGCCTTTGGCATTCCCCAGGGGCATTTCCTGTAGGATCAGAGCCTGTACTTGCCCTGGCTCTCAGGATTGAAGTTTACAGTTGGTTTTCACTGGTATTAGTTCACTGCTCCCCTTTTGGTCACCTGCTTTGGTGAAAGGGTGAATGCCTGAGTGTGTACTGATGCAGAGCCCTTGAACAGAGCTTCAGCTTCTAAACCCAGCAGGATGAAAGAAGGTGAAAAGAGAAACTGTAACAGAAATACTGAAGCAGAATGTAATTAAAGATCTTAATTAAAGAACCTGCAAGAGGGGGGGGTGGGTGGGATTTGGAAGTGCTGCTACAGGTTCCCACTGGTCAGAACAAGACACCAAGAAATAATCTGAGCATCTGGCTGTGGGAGGTGCAGGGTCCCTGGATTAGGTGCTGGCTGTGTTCAGGCTGCGTTCAGTGCACGGTGGGGCTGGGCAGCTCGGGCTGGAGTCTCTGGAAAGCAGCCCGCTGTTTCATATTTGCACCAGGGTTATTTTTAAAGGCTGCTTTGTTACCAGCCCTCCCGGGAGAGCGGCTGCGGGCGCTGTGCTGAGGAGCTGTGCTGAGGAGCCTTCCCAGCGCGCACAGGATCCGTGGAAGGGCTCGGCTCTTTCCCTTCGCTGAATCTGCTTTCCTCTGCCCCTTCCTGGTTTCTGTCTTGGGTTTGCTGCTGTTTCAGTGCCCGGAATGCTGCTGTTTATCAACCTGCTGAGCAGACAGGTTCCTATGGAGAGGTTTCACTCCATGCTCCAAAGGGGCTGTGAGGCCTCTCACATGGTTCTGATGGAGGTTTTAGTTGCGAGAGCAGGATGAAATGCTCTCAAGTAAAGGGGCAAAACTCCCCAAGGAGAAACGTTGCTGGAGGCAGGTAGCCAGGACCTTCTCAGGGTGTATGCTGTGGGTCTGGCACTAAATAGGGCTTTGCATGTTGGGTTTAGTGTCCTCCCCATTAACCTTCCTGTTCATGTGGGCCATGAGCAGGGTTCGCTTTCTCTGTGTTGTGTTTTCTGTTTCAAGGATCCTTTAATCCTTTATGATCTTAATGGGTCACAACAATCCTCTGCCTTGTTCTGGCTGCTGGGGAGGGAGGAGCTGCGAGCCCAGAGGAAAGGTTAGTGCAGAAACGTGCCCTTTTTCAGGCACTGACACGCTCTTTTATTCCATTCATATTCTTCACAAGAATGCCTTGCTGTTCCCAGCTTCTGTGCTTCTTAGTGAGCTCCTAAGGTGCTGTAAGAAGCTCCAGCTTCTCCACGTGTCCCAAATCCATGCAGCTCAGCAGCTCCCAGGCTGCTCCTTCTGTGCTCCTTCCAAAATAGACTTGACAGAGAAGCATTGCAGTTGCCAGTATTTTCCATGATTTCTTCCCTTTCCTGTTTTTAACCATGATTTTGTTGCCCTTTCACTGGTTTTCCCATGCAGGCATTTTGGTTCACAGTGGCCAGATCTTGTCTGTGAGTCTTGCAGGTTTTTGCACCTTTTGCGTCCCGTCTCATAGAATCCCAGATTGGTTTGTGTTGGAAGGGACCTTAAAGCTCCTTAAAAGCTCTCAGCTCTCCCCTTCCCGCAGCAGAGGGGGCAGGATCCCCTCCCTGAGCTGCTGCTCACGCTCTGGGGTGCACCCAGCACATGGGGGGGTTCTGGGCTCAAGCACTCACTGAAGCTGGGTCCTGGGGAGCTTCTCCTCCCCCAGCACCCCAAGTCCTGCTCCTCAGGCTGCTTCCAGCTCCTCTCCCCAGCCGGGTTTTGTGCCTCAGCAATGCTCCAGTGCATCTCCGAGGTGCGTCATGCTGGGGCTGGCCTGTGCTCAGCTCTTGGGCTCATGTGTCCTCCTTGGGCTGGGCAGTGCCTGGGGGTAAAGCAAACACCTCCCTGGGTTCGGCATGTTGCCAGCCCAGGTGTGTGTGACTGTACCCAGGACGCACCACCCCTTGCATTGCCTGCGGGACACACCACCCCTTGCATTGCCCGCGGGACACACCACCCCTTGCATTGCCCGCGGGACACACCACCCCTTGCATTGCCCGCGGGACACACCACCCCTTGCATTGCCCGCGGGACACACCACCCCTTGCATTGCCCGCGGGACACACCACCCCTTGCATTGCCCGTGGGACACACCACCCCTTGCATTGCCCGTGGGACACACCACCCCTTGCATTGCCCGCGGGACACACCACCCCTTGCATTGCCCGCGGGACACACCGCCCCTTGCATTGCCCGTGGGACACACCACCCCTTGCATTG